TTGAATTGACGTTTGTAAATCGAAATATTTCATCCCGATATGCGTTCATGCGAATAACGAGTTACGATAAGGGAAAGCATTTTGCTTCGGGGCCTTTTACGTTGTCGCTTTAGGCAATTCTTTTAACTTTTGTGTTGGAACGCAAGCAAACAAACAAACTAGTATTACTTTGCATTAGATCATGGAACAGATATTTTTCATTGTCGGTTCTATCTTGTCTTATTCTCTCTCTCTCTCTCTTTCTCTGTGTCACTTTCTTTTGAATCACGATAAAATATCGTTTTACATTAGCTATTATATATTGATTTCTAAAATAGATGCCCTAGTTTATTATTTAATCTCCAATATTAATTCGTCACGTTATATATATATATCCTTATAAATTATTAATAATTCAACTTTCCATTTTTTTTATTTCATTTATCCGATTCATTTTTGACCCCTGCCCACGTTCGAAAAAAAATGATCAAAATTAATTATTACATAATAATGTTTGCTTTATAGAGTGGATGTATTATTCTATACTATTAGTTCATTGGAAATTTATCGTTAACCGTAAGAAAGTTCTTTTTGTTTTGTTTCTTTTTTTTTGTCCATTTCGACTTTACTTTCTAAAAATTTCGACGTTAGAAGAAGAAGAAGAAGAAGAAAGGGATACACCACCACCGTTATTATTTATTTCACCAATCAAGATCCTGTTACAGCTAAAGAACTGTTTCACTTATTATCCAATGCAAATAAGCTCTCTCTTCTGTCAAGTACTTTCGTATCACTAAACAACTTGTTCCATTGAGAGAAGTTACCTGTTCAAAACAAGTGGTTCAGGTAATCGAGTCCTTATCTGGAACGTACCTTTGTCAAAATCTACTTCTTTTATACTTCCTGATCGCTACACAAGAGATTTTGAACTTCTTACGGAATAATAATCATTAGAAAGATAACTATTTCTCGTGATTTAAACAAACAAAAAAATATAAGAAATAAAAAGAAAAATGATCTTTAAAAAATCGTAGTTTACAAATGAATCAATGAAATAATGAACGTATGATTAAAAGTTGTTCAGCATAAATGCCCGAAGCTTATCTTCGAAATTCAACGAAAAATTATCGAATTAAGAGGACTCTTATATAAACGTGTGCTGCAGAAATGAAAAGTAACCGAGTGAAAGAACATTAAAGTTGTGAGTACTTACAAGTATGGTTACGCTATAAGAACCAATAATAAAATGTTAATAGTTTTTACCATGTTTCAAAGGATACTTGATACGATTTAAACGACTACGACAATATAATTTAAACGTGTAAAGTGTTGTTTACAAAGATACATAAGAACAAAAAAGAATTTTTACGAATGTATTCACATCGACTAATAGATTATTAATTGATCTTGTGAAAATAAACGAACATGTTCTTCCACGTAATACGTGAAAAATATATTTACAAATGTTATCGCGTCTTCAATAAAAAATCATTAGAATTTTTTCCAAGTAACAATAAGTCTACTTAATTATTAAATATCTTATTCGCGGAATGGTTATTTAAAAAGAAAAAGAAAAAGAAACAAAAAAAATACCATTCTCGTCGACGTAATTAATTAGCCGATGACGTCCGTTTTGCGTGAGATTTATTGGAAAGGTAAAAAGAAATTAATTCTTGAATCGAGAATCGAACGAGAATCCGGAAGACATTGAAAAAGAAATGTTGCGAGTGAAACGTTGCGTAGATCTCTCGGGGGAAGAAAGATGGAGAAAAAAAAAGAAAAGAAAAGAAAAGAAAAAAAGGAAAATGAAATAAATATCTTGAATTTCTTTCTCCTTATTTCTCGAGATTGTTACCTTAAACAATTTCCAATGATTCAATTGCGGTAACGTGTAATTACGACGAGAATAAACGTGAACGCGAACTCAAACAACCATGAATGATAGTCCATAAACATGTTAGATATTTTCCCGTGGCCTTCCTATTATTTATGATTTTCTCACGGTATATTTTTTGGCAATTGACATTGTAAAACGAAGGTCGGATTCGTTATACATATATATACGTGTGTAAATTGAATGCATTAAAAAGACAAAAATTTCATGGGAAAATTCGCAGGATTTAACTATTCTATTCAAACAAACATGAGTTTCTTTTTTGTCGACGATTAGTATCACGATTACTATCTATTTTTTTCCCCTCGGAAGATAAATTAATTCTTACTACCGATCGTCCGATCCCTCCTTTTATCCGTCGCTTTTGTTTGCTTCTATTTTTAACGTTTCTTGGGAATAAATTTTGCTTTTTTTTTTTGTTAAAGATTACGTAGTTACTTCGTAATTACTTAATCGATATATATATATATATATATATATATATATATATTTAATATTTCGTTATATCAGTTGGTTAATACATATATAACGAATAGTAAAGATATAAAAATTGTATTAAATAGTAATCTATTGTTTAATCTTGAATAATAATAAGCAATTTATAATACGTCCTCATTCGTTGTTAGAAAAAAAAAAAAAGAAAATATTTTATCTCGATGAATATGGGCAAATCTTTTTATAAATGGAGGAAAAAAAACAGAAATATGACCATCGATGGGGGCTTATCCTTGAAATGGAATCGTTTGTTTCCTCCGTGTAATGTAAAATTGTTTCGTCCGATTATGGTTCGATGCAATTTAATGCATCAATTTAATGAAATCCGTCTTACGCGGTACTATTATATTGCGAACGGTGATACTAGTCATCAGAAACGCCCACAAACGAGCTAGTGTCTCCTTTTCAAGTTAACCGCGCGCACAGCCTTTTTACTAGCGATGCAATATTTCTAAAAGAAATAAGAAAAAAAGAAAAGGAAAAAAATAAGGAGTTCCTTTCCCTTCGCACAGTCTCGAATCGCATACGCACGGACGCGTCGTTGCACCAACGCAATTGCACCAGATTGCCTAGAGGCCTTACGAATGATCGACGACTCACACTATAGTTTTTTTTTTCTTTTATTTGAACGTACGTAAACGAAATTTTGTCGCGTATAAACTTTCATTTCCTATTTTTATAATCATCCGTATTATTTTACAAGTACAAGCATCTTTCGTTATCCAATTCCAAGGTAAATTAAATTCACATTTAGTATTTAAAAAGAAAATATATATATATATGTTACCGTTAATTCATAAAATATCTATACTTGTAAGTTGTTTTAAGGTATGAAAGAAAATAGAATTACACATATTTTAACAAGATAATATATATATATTTTTATATTATTTCTTAGTAAAATTTATATACCGTAAGTTATTGATAATAATTTTAATCGAATATATTCGTAATAATTTATATAACTAATTAAAATCGTACCTATTATTATATACTTTATTATTAAATTAATAGATAAAGACTGTCGTTCATAAATGGTCATCGAATTTACAATTGCTACGCTATTTCGAATAATTTAACGATATATCAAAAGATCGTTCACTATAGTTACATAATTGTCCTTTACGAGTTAATTTAAAATTCGTATTCGTTGACTTACCGAGCAACCAATGTAATGCCAAAATTTTGGTCGTTGTCTCTTTTCTTTGATTAACGATCAAGTGGTGCTCACTTTGTTGGTTATTCTCGAAAGTGACGTAATCTGCGTAAAGGATCTATGCTAGTAACAACAAAAACGTATGAAAGTAATCTCCACCGGATTTCCAAGTAAGTAACAACCTTATTGATCGGATGATTCACGCCTCCTCATCCATTTTTATTTTCTTCTTTTTACTGTTTCATTTAAACGAGTTCGCGAGATTTTCATTGAGAAATAATCCAAACTGAGAATTTTATAGTATAGAAATAATTAATATAGAAATAATAATAGAATAAATAATAAGAAATAAAATAGAAATAATCTAAACTGATTGGAATTGGTTCTCACGTTAGAACTGTCTAGAATATAACACCGATCACTTTTTAGATAGGATAGATGTCAAATGGTACAGATAGATTCAACAACTACACTGTATTTTCTATATAGATTTGCCTCGTACTCGATTCATAATTTTCTTTAACGTGATCGAACGTTAACATTACTCAGCAGAAACACCAACGTCGGTAACACCATTTACGAGTAGTAATATCCGATACAAATCGGTCATTGAATTCGATCGATTTTCTGTCTTATTGATACTTCGTAAAAAGATATTATTATTTGTTCAAAAAATATCTTTCGTTAGATATTTTCCAATCATTTTTGTGTGACTACGTTAGAAAAATATATTATATTATATAATACACTGCTAGGAAATTTGATTAATTAGTATAATCGAGGGACAAGTGATGCGGATAAATCATAATCCTGCTATACTTATATCTTCATTCGATTTGATAAAAGAAACAATCGATAATTAAGATTTCGATTAATCTAGATCTTATTGTATATGTAAATTAATAAAAATATGATTACAAATATATTATTATTATCTAATACGTGGATAGGTAACAAAAATCAGTTAATGTTATCGTTATTTTGATTAAAATCTGATCATATATTTATCACACAATTAAGGAATTTTCTCATCGTTAGCATTAGTAAACGTTATTATCGCTGTTAGATCCGTTTCGAAAGGTACGTCAATAATTATTGATGCGGATATGAAAAAAAAAAAAAAACAAAAAGAACGTCGTCTTCGTCGTCGTCGTCGTTATCTTACGTTACATACATTGTGATATCCGTTTATCATAAATAGTGTCATGATCGAAAAATAAATTCCTTTTACTACGCGTATGATGATATTGAACGAAAAATCTACCGATGACGTAACAATAATGCTCCTACGAGAAGAAGAGTGTATCCGTGGTGTCAGATCCTACCTCTCATTGCTATTCCATCTCATTTACATACGTCAATGATTAATCCGAAGATAGTTAACGCATCTCGTGAAGAGATATACCGTAGAGGACGAGTAAACACGTGTCCAATCATGGGAAATGAAAAGATTCCTTAGTTAAACTGCAGTTCGATACGATCCGTCGTACCGCGTAGATCTGATCGTTCAGGTACGATGATACTTTCGATCTTACTACAACCTATCTATTAGTTTATTAATCTTACAATTTACAAAAATATTTTTTTCTCGAAATTATTGATTAATAATATAAATACATTATCCATGATTTTGCATCAATACTTTCTGTCGATCAGCACAACATTTCTCTTTTCACATTACAACGGTGGTTTATTAAACGTCGGACTAAAGTGAATTAATACAACAACAACAATTCTAGATCGTAACAACGGAACTTCCTTTCCCCGTTAACGACGTCTTCGCTTTTTTATTTATTTTTTCCTTCTTGCTCTCTTTTTTGATAATAACCAAATATAACTCACAACGAAAACAAATTTCTACGTTGAAACGAGAATATCGCGTGTTGTTTGTAAAATTCTTCTTCGGTGGAATGTTTAACGAACCGATTATTTGTTAGTGCTTATTTAGTTAAATCGATGCCATTAAGAGTGCATTTTGTGCATAGACCACCGTGACCAATTAAATATTCCTTCTTTGTTCGGTAAAAGTGTCGGTTCCTTCATTAAATTTATCGTTAAAAGTTCGCTTGTCGCAAAATTATGAAAAAAAGATGCTTGGTAATGTAAACAAAAAAAAATTAAAAGTATCTATTGAATACCATAGTTTGATAATCCTTATCGAAAATCTGTGGGTCGATTATTAAACCATTGTTTGTTTTTTTTTTACCATTAAAAGTGAAACCATAATTTCATTTGTATAAAATTGATCTTCAATGCTATTTCACAAATCAAAATACTTGGTTTTCTCCTAACACTTCATTACCTTCTTTAGTTACTACTTAATGTGAGTGAGTATACGTATTAGGTAACGTATCAAGTTCTTTTCAACGATCGTGATCTTGACAATATTCGTATAATTGTGATCAGTATGCCAACAACGTCGTGCTATCATAAAATTATCATTCCAAATATCATGGAATATATAAATCACATCTATGATGTAATAATACAAAAAAGTAATATTTACATTTATTTGTTATTTATAATATCCAAGAGAACTCATTTATATTTTTCTATCTTTTTCTCAAAAAGAAATAAACAAAAAAAAAGGGAAAGTATATTTTTTCTTCAATATATTACCTGAATAATAATCAAAAGATATATGTTAGCGGTGAAAAATACTTTTTGTGTATAAATCGAAAAAAAAAAAGAAAAAAATTAAAAATATTCTTGGAATTTATGAATCAGAAGCCTTGTAATGTAACGATAGTAAGAGTTCACTTATTTTTAACTCGAGAGAAGCGTACACTCACACGTATGTAACACGGAAAGTGTCTCAATCTGGGCCAGTCCGGTACCCCACCCCATGATCTTGAGTATGATCTGTTGGTCCCGTTGGCCTCTGCTCTGCTCGGCTTCTTTCTTTCTCTCTCTCCTTGGTTCTCCCTGAACCGATTCTGTTGGTCCTCAATTACTTCCATCCGGACACACGGATCGGTAGGGTTTACTAAGAGAGCACGAGTCCTCCGAGGGTTCAGTACGAAACGCGCGTTCGAACTCGAAGGAACCTTCTCCTTTGAGATTTTTATTCCTCTCTTTGAGGAGATCTCGATAAACGGATATAATTAAAAATATAAAGAGATATAAGAAATAAAAATAAAATCAAAAGTAAAAAGTAATTAACGACCGATTAATATAATTTCAATATTGAATATTAACACGTTAATCCTTCGATCTCAATGATCACGCCGATAAAGAGATTACGAGTGTTTGTTTCTTCAATTTCCAGTATTAATCGAGAGGATTCTATCAAGGATCGATTATAATAGCAGGAATAAAAATGGATCCTGCTATTGATAGGATGACGACACGATTAATCCTATTGCTCATCCTTTCTTTTTTTACTACTTTTTCTCATGGATTTAATACGAGTAAGTTTTATATATATATATATATATATATATTTTTATATTATATATATACTATATATTTTTTGTTTATATTATATATAATATTATTTATTTTTTTGTTCGTCACACATTTAACGTGTTTCGATGATAATAATGTTATCGTAATTTCATCATTATTATGATCCACAAAGAAATCATTTAAATCGATATAAAAATAATTAAAGAGAGATATTGTTTCAAAAGAAAAACTTTTACGTTGGGATTGATCAAAAGTTTCTAATTGGTCTCTTCGGGTAACTATAAAGAGAGACGCATCTTTTTAAAATTAGACTTTAAATGACTTTCCTGTCATTGTTTGACTCTAGTGAGATCGGTGAATGGAACCATTCTCTCTTTCTCTCTCTCTCTCTCTTTAAAGAAAATCTTTTAATGAATGCCGAAACACAAAGATCTAAAAGCAAATGTTAATCGTTTACCCACGACGATCGATCGTACTCATCTTTGAGGTTCTGTTACGCCATCGCACAACTGGAGCACGCTGTCTGACACAAGGACGATACCAATTACGCAATCGATGCGCTTGCAATGGTCAACGGTGGCCATTAAAGAAAACCGATAACATCGATGAAAAAAAAAACGAAAAAACTTATTTAAAAAAATAAAAAGAAAATACAAAACACCGAACACGAGAATAATTCTTCAAAAATTAATTGACGCGTTTAAAAGTATTTTTAACCGTTTAAACACATCAGTTATAATAATTTGATATCTTTTACATGTATGTACCTATATTTTTTTGCAATCGGTCTTGAACGTATTCTTTTTCTAATAATGAAAAAAACAAAAAAAAATCCTTTACATACATTCTAATTTATTCATTCTCATGAATTATACATTTTTGTTTCGTTTTAAAATTGGATTTTGAGGTAATGGACATTCGGCTATTGGACAAATTCAACTTGCATGAAGTATTTGAAGTAGTTGAAAAAAGGAAAGAAAAAGAAACCATCTAAATAATGACGAGGATAGATTAAATACTTTCGTTTTTCAAAAAAAAAAAAAAGAAAGAAAAAAAATCAAATGCTACTACTACCGTATGAGTCATTAAAATGATTCGAAGAGAAAGAATCCCGTATAAAGAAAACTTTCACCGAGGAGAATGATTTATTCGACTATCATACTGATCGAGCAACAACGTGAGATCGTTAACCGTTAACAATCTAACAATGCATTGTATTGCTTATTTAATAAAGAATCTCTTTTCGCGCCATTACCCGTCCGTTTATGATAAATCGGGGAATAGTTACGTTGAAGACGTAACTATCAAGCGTAAATCCGTTGTCTCGTTTATCAAAGAAAACATTTCGTTATAAGAACTTCGTTCTTTATTTACTCTAACTATTTGTATACTTGTTTTTTTTCAATTATTGTCAAGTTTTGATTAAAATCTTCTATAATCTTAACGTAATATAAGCTTAGGAATTTTCCAATTAACAGTTAGATCACGTGAATCAGCATTAAAAAATTTTAAGATACACACTACCGATATGTGACAAAGTTATTTTCTTCGTTGGTGAAATCAACATATCCGGCAACAATAATTTATAATAATAGCGACTGTCTGTTTCTTTAAAGTAGCAATAAATATGCACCTCATATATGCGTCTCTCTCTCTCTATCTCTCTTTCATTTTCTTTTTTTAAATTTCATTTACTATTTTTTTTCAACTTTACATAGTCCATGTTCTGCAACAGGTTTGCGAGTTCTATGTAAACGACTATTATAGACGTTTCTATTCGTATAGTGCAATCATCGATGATGTCAACGACAGTGAAACGTGTTTGACGGATGCCTTTGTAATCGTCACTTTTGTTCATTCGTTTAAAATTGATACAAGATGAAAGAGGATATATGAACGAACATTTTCAGTTGTTCGTTCATATCTATTCTTAGGATAAAAATAATATTAGTAGTATTGAAAATGTGTAAATGTTTAACTTGATAAGAGAAAGAGAAGAAAATATTGTGTATTAAATTTGTATCAATAATTTGTTATTTACTTTTATTTTTCTTTCCCCCAGAATGTCGAACAAAAACTTCACCAGGCAGAGAAGTGATTTGTTATACTTCGAAAAAGGACGTAAAATTAATCGGAGATTCGATCTGCAGGTGCACCACTTTGGTATATCAAGGATACGACATACAAAATCTTTCAGTTACCGGTAAGTCTTTTTTTTTTTTTTTTAAAAAAAGAAACATATTTCAAAATTCTATTATAACGAATACACAAGCAACAAGCTTAACTTTACCGAATTAACATAATAAAAAAATTACCTATGTACGTGGATCGAATCGAGAGTACAAAACTATTACTCATCGAGAACATTCTTGCAAAATTCAATGACCAGACACCCACGTTCAGGATACAACCATAACGGTTGTTATATGACTCATTAACTCGATCTAATCTAACATAAGTAATTTTCAATGAATCAATTATTACGTTTTCGTCAAATAAGTAAAGAATGAAAAAATATATAATATTAGATTAAAGTTCGAAGTTTAAATAGTTAATGGTTAATTGTAAATCGATGTCCTTGATATCATGGTCGATTAAATAGCACACCAAATCGTCTTGGACAGATAGATAGGAGAAAAGAAAAAGAAGAAGGAAAATAGAAATAAGATGACGAAACAAATGAGAAATCGAGAATATGTTACTGGAAATTCTTTCTAACCAAGAAAGGTAGTATGATGACGTTAGAGTGTCGTTGCGCTTATGCGACGACTTCAAGGAATTGCATAAACGATCCAGCCCGTATTTGAAACCATCGGGTGGTAGTCGTGTCCTTGCACTTGCAACAAGAGACTGCACAAGAGATACACATCGCTAACCTTTGTGTATCTGTATATATATCTGTTTTTCTTTCTCGGAAGGTGTATAAAATTTACACTCAAACACGTTTACATTTAATTTGTTATTTATGAAACTAGATTGATATCGGAGTTTAATTTCCATATACCATAGTGGTTTAATTCAATTCGAGAAGAGACACGTAAAACATATTCCAATCATCTACACCCATGTTTCTATATACTTTATAAATATATTATATTTTTTCAAAGAAAAGATGATACGATGTTACAGATCGCAAGACATCATCTCGTGTTTCTCGATACGTGTTGCTTAACAATATCCCTAACAAAAAATCTCTGACATAACTCAATCTTCTCATCGGGGATGTGATCATCATATTATTATTTTTCTTTTATCTTATCTCTATCGTTCTTTCTTTTGATACAATTTCGTACAAGGTTTTGGAAAAGTATGTATTTGCAAATAATCAAAAACCCATATTATCGTCGTGATGATGATACTTATCGAAATTAATAAATTTTAAATCTTTTTGCGAGATCGAAATGAAGTCTCGTTAATATTATCGATAATAATAATATCGTTGAAAATTTTTAAAAATAAATATACATATTTATAAATATTATTTTATCTGATATTAGTGTTTTATGAAGAACAAAACGTAATACTTAGACATTTAGGATTGAACAAAAATTGATGAAAATAAAATTGCTACCTCATGGAAAAAGAAACCCCTGAGTAGAGAGAGACGGATAGACGGGTTAAGGAAAAAAAAAGTATGGGACGTGAGATTATGCGAACATGAGAATCTATCCAGGAGAAACCTTAAAAATGTTGGAGGAAGCTTTTTTTTTCTTTTTTTCTTTTTTAAGGATTGTTTCTCGAAAGGTAAACGATATATAATATAAAAAAAAGAAATTTTTCTGGGTCAAGAAGACATTCGATCTTGAAAGTGTTTGAACACACGTGGATGTTCTAATATATTATTTTAATATATCTATACGGGCGTGATTAATTAAATATTTGAAACCACAAAAGAGTGGTCCCTATTTCTCTGTCGGATGATTCAGATTTAAAAAAAAAAAAGAAGTATTACTTTCCCTGTTCCGGTCCAACCGAACCCATAGAAATTACGTAAAACATCATTCGCATGAATGATAATAAATCGATGATCTATATTCCGATCAAACTTGAAATTCAAGAACTTTTTAAATTATGAATTATAAAAAGACATTAATTGTCTTGTTTGCGTTTGTACATCCACGAAGAATAATTAAACTTGCTTACTTATAAGCCGATTACATTTCAAATAAATAGGATTATGAATATCACAATGAATTTTTGTTGTTGTAATCTAACTGTAAGTAACTTCAAGAATTACAATGATGTAATTATGCAGTGAACTTTGATGCGTCGCACTTTTGCAATAATGAAAAAAGAAAATAAAATTCCTTATTCGTCGTTCGCTTGATTTTCTTACCAAGAATTCTTCTAATCCTATTAGGTATCCTATAATAGAGTAATAATAATAATAATATGATTTAATACAAAATATAATAAATGAAATATTGAATTATTTTAAATGATCTAATTTATTCTTCGACGTAGAAAATTTTGTTTCATTTGTTTAAAGAGATTTTGTAATATAATATATGATTATAATAAAAGTGATTAACGAAACTATAAAAAAAAAAAAATATTATTAATAATCGTCAATTGGATTCCCCATAGTACTTTCGATTTTCGTTGAAAAGAGATTGTACGAGATGTGAACGTAGATCATTGCAAAAATTGTGATTAAATGTGTTTACTTTCTTCTTTCTATGCTCCTCTCGATTTTGCGACGAGAAAATAATTACACCATCTAACAATCTAATCGTCTACCTTGAAGACTACCAATGTATGCAGCAATTAGTTTTGATCATACATTCTTTAAATTATTATAAAATGAAATATGCGATGCACTTTTATAAAAATGATTACACCAAGTTAACCATGACTTTTCTACCTTTTCAACGAACGATATTTTTTACAAGATGAATTTTATTTCTTTATCTTTTTTACAATTAATACGAGAAAGGTCGAATTCAACGCATGAATTCATGATAAAAATAAATTAATTTTATTACATGTTATATATTTCTAGATGAATTGAAAAGATTAATCACGAAATTGCATTCGAACAATGTATCAATATATTTCAATAATATTTTCTAGTTGTCATTAATTAACAGTACATTGCACTTGTCTGTTAAGTATTTTTTTAATTAAATGATCGTCTTGTCAGTTTTTAATAAGATTCTTTTCATTCGTTTTACTGAACATACCTTCGAGAGAAATTAATTTTGAATATGTCTTATATAGATTTTCAAGAATTTAGCGAAGATCTAAAAGAAGCGAATCCTCCACTCCAATTCGTCATTTCCGTTAACGATCCTGCAGGAATTCTTAAGACTTCCGGTACGATTCGTCAGACGGCTGCTGCCCGTTTAGTTAACATTTTAAATGAGGTAAGTTATTCATGAGATTTTAATCGAGAAATCAATATAAATACATCAAGTGGAAAATTTTAACTTTCTTTCTTTAGCAGAAAACAGGTTGATACAATGACGTAGTACTAATAAATAAGTTTTATCTCAACTCGTATACGTTATTTTATGTTGAGAACAGATACGTAATTTAATCATTTATTACTTTACTTCAAATATTATAGTTATTATCATTTAAATGTTTATCGAATTAATTATTGTGTGCCTAAATAAAGGCAACAGAAAATTGTTCACCGTCGATAAAGTTGCTTTCCGGTGTGTTAATTATCAACCGATTCAATTACATTTCTATGCATTACCTGTAATCAAAGAATATAGGTGTAAAAGTCCAATATGTTACCGTAAAAACTTATTACCGAGAAATGTTTATAACAAACAACGTTACCGACAAAGTTTGAAGTATTATCAATTTTTAGGTGCAATATTAATATTTCTATTTTAATGATTACAAAGTACAGAATTATTATTATACATTTTATTTATAGGTAATGTAATTTATACATTATTTTAAGGTTGACGGTGTGGAACTAAATGTAACAGCTGGTTCAAAAGAACGTCTTTATCACTTCGTAAAGGGTCTCAAAGACGAAATGGTACGAAAATCGATCGACAAAAGAATACTGATGTCATTACCAACGAAACCAGAAGATTTAGCGAAACAATTCGATTTAAAACAACTTTCAAAGTAAGAAACTTTCTTTTAATAATGTGTTTTATTATTTTTTTACGAATATATAGCGAACAACTGAATGAGACGCGAGTAAAATGTTACGAAAATATAATTTACGATTTATTTAATATCCTTGTTCGCGTTATCGTTCAATCTGAGAAATCATATTAGGTAAATGTAAAGGAAACAGTAGTAAGAAAAAAAAGAAAAATGATTATTGAACATTCTGGTAGATAACTTTATCCTTGTAACACTTGAAAGATTACTCTCGTACGTGGATCATTTTAAGTATACATACATTCGTTGTTCATTTGATTGAATCATACGCGAAATGATGATGATCCATATCGCACTTATGTGAGACAATCTGACTATTCGGAGTATTAACTGAATATGAATGAGTTTAGAAACTTATTCGGAATAATATTACAAATGTAAACGAATTCATGTCATAGTATCATTTTTTAAAACAAGGCCACGTGATCTCGATGACACGAATACCTTACATATATTATCAATCTTCATTTTTTTCTTTATTAATTCATTGTTCCTTTTTTTCTTTTTCTTTAATCCAATTTTATAAATCATTTCGTCATTGTAACGTTTAATGAGCATCTCAAGAAACATTAATATCGTTATAATGTCACTGGAAAGCATAAATTATAGAAATCGAGTTAGAAACAAAAAAAAATCTACAACAGATGCATTTATTATCTCTCTTTTTTCTTTCTATCTATCTCACTCTCTCTATTTCTTTCTTTTTTTTTTCCTAATATTCTAGTATCATATTATGGAAAAATATGGCGTTATTGTATTATATATACGTAAAATGTCAAATGCAATCTAATTTGTACATTCTTTCTCCATAAATAGATACGTGGATTTATTTACGATTGCCACTCATTACCTAACAGATGACGATGAAGTCTATTATACTTTTCATCCTTCCCGTATGATGGGTCTATTCGATATGCTCAACACGGACAGCTTAGTTGATCTTATAAGCGGATTAGGTGCACCAAAGAACAAGCTATTGATTTCTATGCCATCAAGTGCTTACAAATTCAATTTGAAAAATGAGACGGAGAATGCACCAAGGTCAAATACTGAGGACAAATATCCAACTGTCATCGATCGGAAAGAGGTAAAAAAATAAAAAACGAAATAGAAAGAGATGAAGAATCTAATTAGCATCAAATTTAAATAGATTACAAGCATATAGTGTTAACAGAATAAGAAGTAGGTTGAAAACAATTTGTCGGTTACACTTCTAGTTCTGCGAATCAATGGACGACGAAGAATGGACGATCGAAAGAGACGAGGATTTAACGGCACCGTACGCATTTAAAAATAAAACATGGATCGCATTCGAGGACAAAATTTCAGCTCGCATTAAAGTATAACTAAGTGAATAATAATTTCCCTTTCTCTCTTACTTTTCTTATGTTATATAATACAATTTGATTTTGTTGATAGGGAAAATATGTAATTCTACGTGGACTTGCTGGCTTGGGTATTTGGGACATAGAAAATGATTTAAAAAGTGATTGTGGTGAACCGATTACTCATGATGTTTATCAGTCTTTTAGAAATTTAAAGAAAAGATCGGCACACGATGTGTTCACTTCGCTGGAAGATGATCTTCATGTAAGTATATATGTTACCGTCATAGCCGGAAATCCGCCATTGCTAGTAATTCTTCGGCATTCTCACCAATGCAAAGAGCATTCCGATGAAGTCGGAAACAGAAGAATTCTTACAGTTTTTCCTAAGCATTGAACATAATACTTTGATATTCTCTAGAGAATATTAAATTACTATTTAAACAACGTTGAAAAGAATACATTCTCGGGCACAGACACACACAGCCATATGCAACTTCGTCTGAAGGCGCTTTGCATTGATAACAATGCCGAGAAATTACTAGCAATGACTGATTTCCGGCTTCGACGGTAACATATATATAAATCTTAATTTTTATGATAAAAATTATATATTGTTTTCCTATGTTTTTGTTTTAATCATTTGATATTTATCGTCAATATATTATTTATTCTTGATCTTTAGCAAGCAAAAATTACTTATCCAAATAAAGTAAAGTCATCGGACTACAGAGTGGTTCGAGTAGTTGATACCGAGGGACACATTCGTGCAGTACGCGAAAATACACAAACTGAATTTCCTTGTGTAAGGCAAGGTTTCTTTGTGCATCCAAAAAGCTGCAACAGGTAATCATTTAGTTGAAATTGAAAATATTCATCTGTACAGTATACCGAAACACAAATATATTATATAAAATTGTAAATTATTCTTTTAACAGATTTTATCGATGTGTCAAATTCAATCAAGCCATAGAGAATTACTCGGTCTTCGAATTTGATTGTCCAGCTGGATTGGCATTTGACGAGAGAACAGAAGTTTGCGTTTGGCCAGGATCCTTATCCCAAGGATCTCCATGTCCTGGAAGTAGCGAAGTTGCACCTGCTCCTCAAGTTAGATTTCAATGCCCACCTAAGCCAGGATATTATGCTGATCCACGAAATTGTCGTTGGTTCTTTGCTTGCATGGATTTAGGTATGGCAGATCATATGTATTTCTATTTAAACAGTATACTCGTTGTATACTAATACAAAAACTTTATAACAGGTGGACCAGAAATGGTGGCTTTCGAATTTCGTTGCCCTTATGAATTGGTATTCGATCAAGAAAAATTAGTTTGCGAGTGGCCTTGGTTGGTACCTAGTTGTTCAAATTCTGGATCGGGCTATACAAGAAGCGAATATGATATTCACGCTAGTAGCGGATCTACTCAAGGTGTGGGTGGATTTGTTACCGGTGGAATACCCGATGGATTTTCAGGAACAACCGGAGCAGGTTATTATCAAACTGGTGCTAATGGATTTACCGGTTCATCTAATACACGATTTACGGGTTCATCTGGTACAAGATTTACGGGTTCATCTGGTACAAGATTTACGGGTTCATCTAGTACCCGATTTACTGGTTCATCAATTGGACACGGCATTGGACAATCAGGCTTGAATACAGGTTACTCGGACGTAACTGGAGGATTTTCAACTGGATCAGGTACTAGTAGTACTACGGGATATGGATCAATTACTGGTTCACATGGAATTGGTGGACATTATACGGGAAGTGTATCAGATGGATTCAAAGGTTCAACAGGCACAGGATATATTGGAATTCAAACAGATACTGATGGATCTAGATATTCAGGATCGTTAGGATCAATAAGTAGTAGTGTATATCGGGATTCTACAACTGGTGTCCACGCAGAATCGGGATATACGAAAACTAGTAGTGATTCGTCGAGTTCTAACACCTATATACAATCGAATGGTCATGGTTCTTTTGGATCAGAATATTCGCAAGGAACACGTGGTCCTTATCAAGGTTCTAGTAATACGATTCAAACTGGTGGTGGATCTGTAGGATCTATTAATGGTGTATATACCGTATCGACCAGTGGATTATCAGGTTCCCAATATACGGGAAGTTCAGTAACTGGTAATGAATACTCTGAATCATCTAGTACTGGTTATAAAGGAGGATCTGGAAAAATTGATTCTGGTTTTGGATATACAAGACCAATAGATTTACATACTCAAGGTTTTAACGAACAGAAAGGATCTAGTGGATATTCAGACAGTACATTGTATTCGGGAGTAACTAAAGGAACATTGGGACAAACAGGAGGTTACACAGGATCATCTGGAAGTAGCTATACTGATTCTTCGAATAGAGGATATTCTCGAAGGCCTTCTATTTCCGGATCTTCTGCTGGAATTGGACCTGCTGAAACAATTGATTATGCAGGATCTACAGGATCTGGATATACTGGATCAGATTTCTCAACGAAAACACAATATACAGGCTCATTTGATGCGGGACACTTTGGAGGTTCTAACACTGTATTTACAGGATCAACGTCAATAGGTTCAAATTATCCTGATAAATCGATAGTAGATGGAAAAGTTGTACCGGGAATATTACAAGGTGCAGGTTATGACACGACATCTACATTGACACAAGGCCATACAGGTAGTAGTTCTCATTATTTTGAAAAATCTAAAGACTCTGAATTGCCTGGTTATACTATACCAGTACAAATAATACCCGAGGAAGTACCGTATTATACAAGTGGTGTTACCGGAGGTAGTTCAGTAACAGATACTGTTAGTGGAACCTACAGTGGTGGAAAAATTGGTTCGGGTTCTACAGCATCAGTATTTACAAATTATCCAGGCCAAACAGGTACATACATTACTGATCATACAGTATCTCGTGGTCCCACATATTCCGGAATAAAAACAACTTATACTGATGGTACTGGTGCAACAAACGTTTTCCGTAAAGATGGATTCACTAAATATGATAGTGTTCCAGGAAGTAATTTAAATATTACATTAGTACTTGATAAAACTACGCCTATACCTAATATATTTTATCAACATACTGGTTATTCTGATGGTTATAATCTTGGACAAACAAGCACTGGCGCTATCATTACTGGTACCAATGTCGAAGGAGCCATAGTTACTGACGATTCTTCTTCTGGATCTGTTATTACTCAAGGAGATATATCTGGATCAATTTCAACAGGATCAGCTCAACAAGGAACTGTTATCACTGGAAGTAGTCAACCAGGATATGTAAAAACACAAACTGGTTCTCCTGGCTATGTTGTTAGTGATGGAGTTAAAACTATCTATTCTGAATCAGCTAGTCCAGGCACTTTGTTGCACGGATCCGTTTCTTCGGGCGTTTCATTGGGTGGAACTCCTACTTCTGGCATAATCTTACAGGGACAGAGTAGCCCAAGTATTCAATTAACTGGCCAAACTTCTAGTGGTGTTTTAGTAGGTGGAAACGTTCAAGAAGGTACTACTGTTGGAGGAAATTATTTCTATACCGGTTCTGAATCATCAGTTTATAATAGTAACAGAGGTTCGACTAATGTAGGACAGGTGACCCCTTCAACCACTGAAAGTACAAGTTATAAAACAAATGAGTACCATGATAACGGAGGACGTGGTACCATCAAATTTAATAATGGTCTCGTTACCACTAAATACACTGAAAGTGATCTTACAGATTACAGAACTTCAATTGGTACGCTTCCCGATAATGTTGTACCTGGAGGCAGATTGGACGGAATCTACAGTCAAACAGGTTCTTCGGGATACTCTTCTACTAAATCTAATACATTCACTCAAGATGGATTTACAAAAACAGGACCAACAATAACGGGATATGTAACTGCAACCTTAGGTGGTAGAGGATCTTACGCTACCAGTACTGGACAGCGACCTACAATAAATTATGATAAAATTGGAGAAAACGCTTTTGACGGAAATGTTGCTGGGTACACGAAAACGTCTAAGATTCATTCAAATGTAATTACATCAACTGAGGCACCAGATGCTACTCACATCGACACGTCTAAAATCACTTTAGGACCAGCTGTATCGCATTCGGTATCAAATATTTACGATAATACTGGTGGTACAGGATATTCCACGTCTAGCGGAGGATCTTATGCGGTGACGACACCTTCTTACCTAGATGTTGGAATTTATCAAACACCATCGACCATAGATTCTGCTGGAGTAACACCTATATCGACTGGTGTTGACACGTACAATAAACCAAGCTACGTATCTGAACAAGTTCCAACAGGATTTGTTAAACATAAACAACCCTCACCTACTGTTTCCTCAGGACTTTACACTACTGGACCACTTGAAAATTACAGAACAACAATTTTCGAAGCAGCTAAAATTCCAGTATCCGAAACTATGGTTCAATCAGTATTCGATAATGGTTACAAAACTATTATTTCTTCAACACCTATTCCAATTACTTCAACCGGAGCAACATATACTTATAAGGATAATCGCTTCAACACTGGATCTCTTTCCACGCATGGACAATCTGTCTTCGAAACTGGAACTTCTTTCCAATCAACTGGTTTATACAATCAAACGGATCACATCCCTGTTACCACTTCTTTACCATCAGTCTCTATATCTTCTGGATATGTTTCGGAAAAGTCAAGACCATCAACAATATTTGGAACTTATACACAACCGACTTTGCAACCAGAGGTAACTTTTTTACTCGATCCATTGAATTTATTACCATCACATTATTGTGTCTCAAATAAAATGAATCTTAAAAAAGACATAAGTAATATTATAATAGTGATTAATAATTTGATTGTTTCTTAGATACAATACGTTCCTAGTAGCACTACAGGATCCGTTTCAAGTGGTTTTAATGGTTATACTTATACAAAAGGGAAGATACCATTTGGAAAAAATGTCACACCTTCTACAATAATTTATCAGCAACCGACAGAAAGTATACAGGTTCGATGATTTATTTAAAATGATATTATTTTATAAATATAAATGTTTTCATAAAGTATAACGAAAAAGTTTTCTTTTCTTTTCAGTCATCGTCAACGACACCTTCTTCACCTATCGGAGTAATCTACACGAAACCATTCTCATTATCCGGTATTACTTATGATCAGTCTACGCCAAAATCTATTTCAGTGATTGGGGATACGTCATCTAGTCAAGATTACACGACGAAAACAAAGACATCATTTGGATCGAGCACTTCTTTTGGAGGATCACCAACGAATTTAGATATCTCACGAGATAAAGTAGAGACCCTTGTCAATAATTACAACAGAGGAACAGTTAAATATGTTCCTAATAAGTATGACACTTATACTGGAATCGATAGTACAAGTTCTACAGGATCGACTTACAGAGGATCAAGCAGAAAACAATCATCCTATTCGACTTCGGCCGGTCAAACTTACGTTGGATCAACTAGAACGCAAAGTACACCAATTATAACGACATATTCAGGTGGTTATAGCAAAACGTCATCTGTAACACCGTCTTACGAAATAAGCACGAAAACAACTGCCGTTCAAACTAAAGGCAAAGTTATTGTTAAGTGGAGCGATCTTCATCCATTACTCATTAGCAAACTCGGTGCAGAATGTACTTGTAAAGCTGATCCCTTCGGAACTCTTCGTGGACCTGGAAAGAATTTAATAAACTCATCGAAGGGTCAAATAGATCTTGCCAATTACGACGAATCAGATGTCTATGTTGATCTAGAAAATGATGGCTCCGGCGAATATGATTACGTTACCAATTATGAATCTTCTTCACCGAGACCTTTTAAAATCGAGAATAAGGCTATCACTGGAAACACTGATAAGATTTCTTCGATCAAGAGTGTGTCTCCTGGTTCGACCTATTTACCTAGCGTATCTACCTCCGCCGTTACTCGCAGTTATATTCCCAGTGAAAGATCGGGAAAGAAATTGGAGCAAAGTGATTCAAGTACCAATTCAATCGGTGGCTCGTCTACCAGCTTCAATAGCTTTGTTCCGAAAAATCTCGAGGAATCCGAAGAGATTCTTGAAGGTCCCAACAACTGTGCCAGACCTGGTCTTTTCAGACATCCAAACTCCTGTAACAAGTTCTATGCTTGTCACTGGGACGAATGGAAGAAAACATTTACTCTTCATGTATTCAATTGCCCGGTGTTCTTGACCTTCGATAACAATGCAGATGCCTGCAATTGGCCTAGCAAGGGACCAGCCTGCCAAGATGGCAACTTATTGGTTTAAAATTACAACTATTGTTCTTCCATTATTCGTTTATTTACGATCACGAGCAAACATTTCTTTCCTTTTATTGTCTTCTTCTTCTTCTTCGTCTTTTGAAATTTCAAAGTTGCAACGATACTAAATCCTCAGATCACGTGAAACCTAATGGCAATCGTTAATTTTTTATTAATTACGAATGTTTGACAAAATTCTTAAAAAGCGTATTAACAAAATGAACGAAACGAAAAAGAAAGAAATGAGATAAAATTTCTAACAATCAGATCATAACGTACACACAAGTTAAATTATTTGAAAGATTTTCGTTTTATTTGTTACCTGCATGAGTACTAACAAAAACGATAGATCACGAGATCATGGAAATTTCTTTTAAAACTTGCTACAAGAAACAAAAACAGTTGTCTATTCCAATTGAAGAAAAAGATGTAAATGACAAAAGAGAAACGTGATTCAAAATGAACGAAATGGAAGAGTTCTCAAGGCGCATAGATGTACTGACGCCTCTCGAGTTTAACAATAAGTGAAAGCCAACTTTATTGTGATCTTTGATCCAAATCGAACCGAGAACTCGATACGAACGATTTCGATAAGATATTCTCGTGAGCAATTGTAAATATTTCAACTTTTATATTTTCTTTCTATCTCTTTCTAAATTTGTATATATCTATTATATATGCACATATATATTTATACATTATTCATATATATAATATATATGTGTGTGTGTGCGTATATGAGGCCTTGCCTTTTTTCTTTGAAAATATATGAAAAGAGAAATTCGAACAAATGAATTCCGAATATAATGAGAGAAAAATTAGAAAGAAATGTGACACCAAGTCAAATACTCGAAAATGTTATTAGCTTCTATAATAACTTATATGAGTAGATATTAATTTCTTAAGATTATTTAAATTAAGTCTCGAAAAAAATTACACACCGAACGTTATTTAATGATACAAAATAAATCCTAGATCAATGCACAATTTGTACGAAAGATTCACTCGAATTGGATCTAAATTATCCGAATTTTTCTTGATTATTTGTTTTTATCATTATTTCTTGTTTAATTAACTCTGTGTTCAATCCATTACTATATTTTCTCGCTCTGTTTGTTCAACCACCCAGCGATTTAATCGTCAATTTAATTATCTATCTATTATTTATTTCGTTTGCTTGTTTTATTCAATAGCTTTTAAGTATGGCATGCCAAATGCAATACCCATTTTATTGTCTATCCTTATGGCATAATTTCTTGTTTTATTTTTCTTTATGAATTACGAATAAACCCTCTACAATCGAATTTTTTTTTTTAATTAATCTGTTTAAACAAAATTATATGATGTAACATATATTTGTTACGTTTGTTCTATTTGAGAAAAAAAAACGAAAAAAAATTCAAGAAATATACTTGAAGAGAAAATAAGATGAATAATATATATATATATTACAAACCAATAGTATAACTGATACTAGTACAACTATAGTATACTGTAAGTATAATCTATAATTAACAAATGTTAATGTGTTCGAATACGAACTAATGAATAATTTTATAACGAAAAATGAAATAATAATACGTAAAAAAAAATTCAGATAAAATATAAGTGCGTATTTTAAGCATTACGTGGTATTTTCGAGGGTTAAAAACGTTTTCTTTTTCTTTAGATATTATTCCTTTCTTTGCATCCTAAGTCAAAGCTTTTATCGCATCTGTCGTGCCATTTCATTATAATTATTTTCTGTGTTAATGATTATAAAATGAATGTGAAATAAAATTACAAAAGAAACGAAATTTTATTTAGCACCTACCAATATTACTAATATAAAACAATATATAATTATGACACATCTCGTTCGTACGACGGAACAGAAGAAAACGAATCTAATCACCGGATCAAATTTCTATTTCATACTTTAGCTACTCGCTTCTTTTAAATTCATATATTTACTCTGATAATTAATTACAACCAATCACTCCGGCCGATTTGGACATTTCGACACGATTGAGTGATAGGAAGGATTTTAAAATTGACTTATTATTTTAAAAAGTTCTGAAATGTCTCCGAAATACACCTACTTTACAGTAGTTTATTGTTTCCGTACAGGTAAGCTTAAATTACTTATTTTTCAATTGTTTAAACAAAATGAAATGTACGTGAGAGTATACTTAACTAATATTTAAATGATAGTACATTCTTTAAATATTACATACTTATTAATATACTTTGAATATGAACAAATTTCGAACTAGAAGTAATAACTAGGTTAAAATGTTAAAACACATGTATTTCAAATTATATTTAAACAATTACATAAAGATTAAATATATGCTAAAATAAGAATGTTATAATCTTAAATTCTATTATATTTATCTCGAATATTATGTTTTTTATAGATGTAAAGCCTTAGAAAACTCATATAAACAACATTTCATAGAAGAAATTTGATAAAATACAATGTGACAGTCTAACGGTTGATTTCAAAGAGGATGATACTTAGATCTTATATTCCAAAATTTTATACAACACTATACATTTCCTTCGATTAATTAACGATTATTTCAATGTATTAATGCACTTTACTTATATTACAGGAAAATTCTTACCTCAAAGTCATCAATGCGCAGGAGCGGTTAAATAATTATCTAAAAATGTTAAAAATGCTAAAATAAAAGCGTTATAATCTTAAATTTTATTGATTAGGTGGATTATTCTTTTTATACACAAGCACAACGTTCGGAAAGTCATATAAACAACTTTCAATAAAAGTATTTTCATAGAAGAGAAAGTGCCAGTCTCAAGGTGGATTTCGA